GTAAGACTAATAAATATACCATGTTGTATGGTTTAAAAAATGTTTAACACTATACATACAGTAGTTATTAAACTATTTGCAAATTTCGATGGGTTCATTCTTCAAATTTTCAAGTTTAGTATTCAGAAGAAATGCAACTTAAAAATAATTAAGAATATTCATAGAGCCGATACTGAATTTAACAACAACGGAAACCCTACTTTTATAAATTAATTTCTTAGGTATTTCCTAAATACTATAGTGCGGTACCTAATAATTCTTCAATTGTGGTTGTAATGCTTGTTTTTATTGATAAACAAATAATTTTGAAAAAAATCACAATATAATAAATATTATTATAAAAACTATATGCCTTAAGTTTAATTCTATACAAACGCTGTTTTACATATACATTATAACTAGTTGGATAACTTTGAAAATGTTTTGATTTATATTAATTTTAACAATAACATACAAATAAGACCGAACAAAGGCAGATTAAACAGTGTGATATTATTTTTTATTAATAAGGCAACTCTCTTCGACTTTGTCGATCACTAAAAGTTGTATTTGGTTTGCAATTAACCAGTTTTATATAATTTTATAGAAAATATAACGGTCATTTTTTTTTAGTTACTTATTAAACAGATTTTTATTTGGCGTGTTGGTTTTTTTTAAATGTAACCGGGTAAATAAAAATTAGTTAATTAATTAATTTTATTTATATTGAACAAAATAAGCTTCAACAACAGATTAAGTACATGTACAGTATGTTATAAAAACATTTGTGTAGATATAAAATAGTATTGAGCGCAAAACTTTTTCCATAACATATCTATAAAATAATATACTGATTTCTTTACAGTCGAGTTGATATTGGCAATTGTCAGTATCTATAAGACTAAGACGTTTTGTCCAAAAAATATGGACGTCCGTTGTTACTCAGTCGTTTGGTCAATACTTCTACACCGGTATCGGTGACCAGGAGAGTTTCTTCGAACTGCGCCGACAACTGTCCGTCTACAGTGACTGCAGTCCAATTATCTGGCCAACATTTGTCTCGCCAACTACCTGAAATTAGTATTGTTTTGTTGTTGAAAAAAATAAAAACCAATAATAATTACCAAATTATACAAAATATGTTAAATTTTATAACAATATAAAATTTTAAATCGGTTCGGTAAACACGTTAGAAAGTGACTTTACGCTTTCAGTCTTTATTTGTACAAAATTTGGCGCTTTCCGTTCACCTTAGGTTAAAATCTCCACAAGAAAAACATGCATTTATAGGGAATTTTTATTTTTATTTTTATGACATTAAATTACTTTGTTTAAAGTAAAATATATAAATATCGGCTAGAACGTACTTAGCACCTCTGCTTTAATAATATATATACACTTTATAATTGGCTTACCTTGTGAAATCATTGGTTCAATAGTAAATGTATGGCCTGGTTTCATCACACCTACTGCTTTGTTTTCTGTAAGATTTCAACATAAATTAAGTTTTATAATAATAATATGAAGAACTGCTGATCGTGTGTTGTAAAAAAACAAAACATTTTATAATTTTCTAAGCCAAAAGTTATAGTAGATTCTACAAATTATCTTACTAGCGTAATGTGGGACTCCGGGGGAAGTGTGGAATAATTGGTGTATTCCATGGCCGCAGTAACTTTTAACTACTGAAAACCCATTGGCTTGAGCGTGTTTTTGTATAATATTTCCGAGTTCTCGATACTTTTCACCGGGCTGAACTAAATAAAAAAAAAAAAAAAAAATTGTATCCATGACGAATCGTCGAGAAAAGAATTACGTACCTGCATTTATGGCTTTCTGTAAACATTCCCATGTTACATTGACTAATTTTTCAGCAGTTTTAGACACATTCCCTATTAAGAACGTTTCATTCAAATCGCCATGATATCCTCGATGACATACAGTTACGTCGACTGTAAATAATAATAATAATCGGACTTAAAAAATGGGGTACCTAATTAAAATTTGGGTATTTTTATCTTTTAAGTATGAACGTGTAAGTGTTTGTGTAGTGTTAAAAAAAACAAACCATTGCAAATGTCTCCGTCGGCTAGAGGTCTCATGTCCGGTATACCATGACAGATAACTTCGTTAACAGATGTGCAACATGACTTTGGATACTTGTAATAGTTCAGCGGCGACGGATAGCATTCTCTTACAACACACGCTTCGTGACATATTCTATCAATTTCATCGGTTACTACGCCAACATCGATCATTAATGCTACTTCATCCAAAACTTCACGGCCAAGCTTCAAAAAAAAAAATATTAAATTACATTTATTTACATTTTAAATGGGAAAATGTTATATTTGTAAATTTCTTTTTTTTTTCATACCTTACAAGCTATTTTCATTTCTTCTAGTTCTTCGTCATTCAACACTTTGATGTGAGATGCTAGTTTAACTTGTTGTTCACTTAGGGGTATACCTTCTGGATGATCGGCATAATCAGGTCGCGGTATATGATCGGGAACAGTACGCGGTGCAGATGTTTTATGGGGGCGCAACGGACCTAAATTAAAAAAAAAAAAGATATAATATTATAATGTCAACTTAAAGATCGCTAAAATCTAAAATGGTAGTGTAAACAGATTATAACATTAAATTACATTTTTTGTACCTGTAAATGCATAATCTGGCCATGGATTATAAACGTCTGGAGTACCATTTGTTGAATTGTTTTTGCCCTCTGAAAAATAATAGAAAATATTGTAAAATACAAAAATACTAAGCGCAGAGTGGACAAACGGAATAAAAATGTCTATGAATTCAATGGCAAATCGAGGTACAGGAGGTCGTGGTGTTGGTGGCCGCCACTGCAGATTCCCAGTCTGCAATGAGAATAATATAACCGAAACACTGCCACACATCAGGGGCTCCTGTCCTAAAACCGAACTCCTTCGAAACTCTGCACACCACAAAGTACGTTCATCCTTCGCGAAACTATTCCGGTGTAAAGGCTTCGAAACCTATGAAGAGGTTCACTGCGAGATTCATGATGATTCCAGCACCCAGAATAGAAGAGTGGATATTATCGTCCTAGATCGAAGAAGGGGTAGAGGTCTTATTCTGGATCCCACTATTCTATGGGAAACGAACGACGATAGGCAAGATATATCAGTTGACGAGGAAAAAAAAACAATCTACATTCCATGCATACCATACCTAATACAACGCTATGGCATAACTCATTGGGAAGTCACCGGATTGTGGTTTGGGGCCAGAGGAACAGCTTCGTCGCTGCTAGTCTCATTCTTCAAAGCGAACGGTCTAGCAGTCGACGAACTGCGTAAGATGTGTCTTTTAGTCCTGAAGGACACATTGTATATTATCAATTTCCACCTATATTCTACGTAATTGTTGTATTTTTTATTCAATCGTCCATTTATTGGATTATTAGTCTTATTACTCATTTATTAATTTTTGTCTTAAAGAATCTATGTTTACCTGTGTTACTATTATTACCATCAATGTTAAAAGAAAAATTGTGTTATGTACTATTGTATTGATCTAGTATGCTGTGTCTTATATGGCAACCTATGTTTTAGGCAGCCCGCTTGATTTTTTTAAATAAAGTTGCTTCTCTCTCTATTTGAAAACATGTAGTGTAGTGTTAATAACATATGATACCGAACTTACACCTGAATTATAACGACAGCTTCATATAAGAATTGGGAATAGTGAAATATTATAAGGAAAACAATTCCGTTATAGCTAAAAAGGTATTGAAAAAAAAGATTGAGGATAGGTTGCTATTTAGTATTTAAAGTTTGCTTACAAGACACTTCACCGCTGCACATATACATATACGTACTTCAATATTTTTAATTAAAATACTATAATCGATACAATATTATTTAACTTACGTGCTACGTTGTGAAGAACTTTATGGGTTGACCAATTGGTTTTGAAACATTGCTAAAAAAAAAAATAAAAACATTAACGTACAAGTATTTTTGCCAGACAGCTTCAAAATAGATCATTGCAATGACCAAATAAACCATAGTAATTAGCTACGACACTGTTAAATGACAATATTTATACACAAGAAGTGTGGCCAACTTGTTTTAGTTCATAAAACAAAATAAAATGTTTTAGTATATTCAAGATATGTCTGAAGCAATTTATTACTGTACACAGTCACACGGGTATACCTTCTTAAAAACTTGTTTGGAACTTTTTTATTTTATTATTGTGAAGGTATTCAATCGTCAAGTGTTTTCCCTCAATTTAATTGAGGAAAAATACAATTTAATTGTATTATAATTTTTTGCATCACCATGTTATACAACATAACGCAAATTCGAACAATTTGATGAGGATTTGTGACAGTTCAACACTACATCAACAAATCTTGTTAATATTTACCTGGTTACAAAAGTATGATCCTGAAATGCCCAGCTTGATGCACGTGGGGCATTGTAGGTTGGCTTGAGCGTTGCAGCCTGCAGTTTCACATGTCCGATTAGCCAGTGACGTTGACATAGTATAGGAACGCGGTAACTTTCTTCGATTTCAATTCAAACTCAACGTGAAGAGTTATTGAGAAAAATCGACATATAAAAGTGTTTCCTATTCCTAACTACAGCATTACCTATAAAATTACAGCTTACGCGCCGATGAGCATAATGTGTTTTTAATATTTTTACTTGTTTGGGTTAAGAGTGATAACATTATCCTAGTTTTGACTGCACACCAAGGTGAATGTATACATCCCCTGCGGCTGCTGTCCATGACTGATAACACACATATAGATAAGAAACTTTTCCCTTTTAAATCTATGGCTGATAATAACATTTTGTTTGATAATGTGACATTATCAGCTGACTCGTTATCAGTAGGTCCTTAACCAGGCACCAACGTCCAATAATATAGTCAACAACAAGTTTTCAAAATCGAATTTCTACTTAAAAATAGTAATTTGCAATCATTACACCACCACGGGCAACAGTCAAATTTATATAAATAATTTGTAGTTTTCGAATTGCAGTCATTTCGATATGGGTGTATTCCTTGGACTCGGAAGAAATGTTGCCTACGGACTCTGTAATTTGACAAGACAGTATACGACTCCCAGCACTCCAGCAACTCCAAGCCAAACTACAGCCCCAGATGCGAAACCCTCATTCGAGTCGAGTAAGTTGTTTTTCATAATAGTATGATCTATTTTGGTTGTGCTTACCTCAAGTGCTCAGCTGATAGATGTTTTCGTAAAAAAAGTGATCGGTTTATAAAATAATTTATAGATTTATGAAAAAGTTGTATTAATTTTATGATGTAATCAAGTTACCATTTCATGCAAATTCATCCTTCTTATTTTGTTGTATACTTGCTAATTACTATACAAATATATTATGTAATATATTTAACAAAACATAAGTCAAACACAAATGTGTATGAATGTTTTGTAATATTGCTAACCAAATAAGGAACTGTTACATAAGCATTACAATATTCTATTACAACCACAACTATGTGATAATTATTAATCATAAGACTTAAAAATTAGTTAGCTATTAATCCTATGTTTTCTATGTAATTTTTAGAGGCCAATTATCCATTAACAAAAACAAAAAAAATTTTGTGTGTTTGGGCAAAAAAATACCCATCCGTAAAAGAAACACCCGACAAGATTACGTGAGTTATTATGCGTTGTTTATTTTATATTGTTACAATTTTACTGAAACTCAGTTTTAATGTGTAGTATAATAGAAAAGATGTGAAAATTATTTTATTAAGTTAATGTAAATTGCATGCATGCATTTTTTTTTTTTTTTTTTGGCACTGGTGCATTATTATTATTATTATTTTATTATCTTTTTCTTTTTTTATTGCAGAGCTGAGAAATGGAACAAAGTAAGGTCTGTAGTGAGAATCAAAGTAGCAAACTTAACTATGCTTTTTGTAATTTTGGGTTGTATTGGAATGGTATATACTGGCAAACAAGCCCGTGATAGAGGTGAATCACTAAATCAAAGAAACTTAGACTGGCACAAAAAGTATAGTGAAAGTAATGATGAAGAAGTAAAAAATATTGGTGTGTTTGGAAAATAATGATACTAAGCGTCAAGATAATGTAATAGATTTAATATTTTTATTGTACTGATAATCACACTTGTTTTCTAGTTATTGTTTAGGTTCTTGTTTTTGCAGATGTTTAATTAATTATAATTACAATTTCATAATTCTATCTTGTATACTTCTTATAAAAATTATTTTTATAAAGAATTATATGTTTTTGTTATTTTATTGACAGTAAATATTTTACAAGTGAACAGCAAAAATTAAGAACTAACTTAAAATACTTTAATTTAGTAATACCCAATTGTATAAATTTTTTTATGTTCGAAATAAATATTTAGAAAGTTTTTTGTTTTATTCAATCATCAATTGATATATTGGGCATTTTTATTAATGTTATTTTACAATACTATAAAACTACTTAATATTAACTTTTTTGAGTATTTTCCAGAGCTCTGTCAACTTTTGAAACTTAAATAGTAACTTATTTACTTAACTATTTTTTTAAAATTAAGAATAATTTAATAGAATAATAAGTTTAAATTTTTCGACAAGAGTCGGATAGCGTACGAGTGAAGCGCACAGATGAAAACAATACTTCACTCCGCCTTTCCTACCGTCTTAAAATTTAAACCTTAATAACTTTATAAGTAATTGTCCAAAACTGGATATCGACCAGTCAAAATTGTTAACAAATACATATAAATTAAAAAGAAATAGTTGAATATATTACGTTAACATTTAATTTTCAAAAGTTAATAAAGCTGTGGAAAATACTAAGAAAACATAAATGTTTAGTAAATGTATATTATTGTTAAAATATAATATAAATCAAAACATTTTCAAAGTTATCCAACTAGTTATAATATATATGTAAAACTAATTCTAAATATATAGAATTGCACTTAAGACCTATAGTTTTTATAATAATATTTATTATATTGTGATTTTTTTCAAAATTATTTGTTTATAGAGAAAAACAAGCATAACAACCACAATTGAAGAATTAGGTACCGCACAATACAATTTAAGAAATACCTAAGAATTTAATTGACAAAAGTAGGGTTTTCGTTGTTGTTAAATTCAGTATCGGCTCTATGAATATTATTAATTATTGTAAGTTGCATTTATTTTGAAAACATAACTTGAAAAATTTGAAGAATGAACCCATCGAAATTTGCAAATAGTTTAATAGTAGTGATATGTATATAACTACTGTATGTTTAGTATTAAACATTTTTTTAAACCATACAGCATGGTATATTTTTTAGTCTTACAATAGTATACTGCTTAAATTTGAAACAATCGAATATTTCATATCTCATTTAAATAAACGAAATCTGCGAAAAACAGTTTTCCGTCAATTAAAGAAAAACTGTAGTGCCTATTTTTATTCTAGTTCTAACTACTGACAAATTTTCAACTTAAAGTTCTTAAAACTAAGGCTAAAAAACAATAAAACTTGCACCCCCCCCCCCCAGGAGGATGGTATCATTTAAATTTGATACAACTGACGTGTGACAGCAAACGAAATAAATATTCCTAATAAATTTCAACTCGATCCGGCTCTTTTTCTCGAATTTATAGCCAGTAAAAGTTCTAATTATAAGAGTTATAGTATGGTTTTTTTTAAAAATTTTAAACTATGAAAAATTAAAATGTTTTCAACTTTTACTCCCCCACCAGTACCAGTTAGATGAAATTTGTGATTTATAGAGTTGCTACTCGAAGAATTGGTCCAGTATTATTAAAGTTACAGTGTATACAGACACAAAAAAAGCCCACATCATGGTAAAACCAATGGCATCTCTGCTTTGCATCGAAGCTAAAGATGATTCACATGGGTCGTTATTTTCCTTGAAAATCGTCAATAAGTCTGGTTGGCCATGTATTTCTTAAGACCTTGAACTTGTTGACGTCTTTTGAACGTGTAAAAAACGATTCGTATTTTTTCATTTCTGTAAACAGTGGTAAAGGGAACGCACATCAACTCGCCCAAGTGTTTTTCTATAGTAAAAAGAAATTGTGTTTTCGAGTTAACGCTCAGGCGAGGTTTCGATAAATAACACTTCCTTAGAAAATCGTATTTGTAAATCTTTGTTTACTTTTGAAACACACGTGCCAATGTGCGAAATTATACAAATCCCTCGTTCTCTAACAATTAGAATAATTTATACACTTATGTCTTATCATTAATGACTAATAGGTCCGCGTTGAATTAAAATGAGAACTCTAATTTGTTGAAAATTTTGAAATCGAGTGGAATACAAAGCAATGGGCTTTTTTAAAAATTGCTAAGACTTTTTTACTTGACACTAAAACCAAGTGTTTTCATCATAACGAAATGGCGTTTTTCTCGATTTTAAAATAGAAGGGATGAACTTTGTAGAACGATACTGATTTGACTATATTACAAAATATCAAACAGGGTTTCATTGAATTATCTATCTTGTATAATACTGATTTGTTGGTATACTTAGATATGTCTAATATTACTCTTTGCCTGTGTATAACGGTTGTTTAAAAAATAAAAACGTGTACCGCTATTCCCCGACCCCACTGTGCTGGCTTTTTATACTTAACATTATTGCACATAGAAAAAAAGTCAAACTGAACGACTCATAGCCGACTTTGTCCTTGAAAGTTTTCATACCTTTATCGATGAAAAATAATATAATGTAAAAAAAAAATTGTATACCTTCTAACATTACCGATCCAATTCAACGGCAATATTCGTTTTTTAACGTGCTTACCTATGAAAGTAGGTAGGTACGCTTTATTTATTTTACTTCATCTGTTTTTTTTGATTTTGAAGGAAATTATACATGGTGTTCAATAAGTTCAAAAACGGTCAATTTTTGGAGCCGTTATTGATTTTTTTCAAATTTCGACTTTTGGATGTTGGTAGATGTTATTTTATGCACATATAAGGCTTAAATCCAAAATCATACGCGAAGTGGTTTACGCATGCGTGGTATCAACTTTTGAAATTTAAATGAAAACCCCCATATTTTTTTAGATATTCTGTTAGAAATTAATATTTAAAAGAAAACATTTTTAAAAACACTTTTCAATATCATACGGTTCAAAAGTTATTGCTATTTAAAGTTCATGTTAGTGCTCTATTCAAAAGCATTTTTAAGTATATATGTACAAGTCAGATAATTTGATGTGACTTTTATTAAATGTGTAGTTCAATATCTGAACTATGATTAAAAAAAAAAAATCACAATTAAATTGAATTAATAGCTTAAATTGTGATTTGGAAATTTGTTTAATAAAACACCATTTTTTTAGAGACGTTAATTGGAGAAACCTAACCTAACCTTCGGTTCTTTTTCCTATAAGAGTTCGTACAGGTCTATTGTCCGATATCACAATGCTATTTCAAATAATGGTTATTACTTATCAAATAGGTACGTCAAAATTTGAAAAAAAAAAAATCAAAAACGGCTCTAAAAATTGACCGTTTTCGAACTTTTTGAACACCCTGTATAAAACCTTGGGCTAGCTTCTAGCAGCCGAAATGTCGACGAATTATGACAGATGGGAAAAATTCATGTGATACAGTAATAAGACATAAATATTGATTATATACAATCAAGACAGCTACAGTAGTAAAATTGCTGAGGTTAATAGAAGCTCTAATTTCACATAGTTATGTGATCCTAACCAATAACCTAATGGATTAGCCGTCAAATCAATTAATTCGAGATCGTTTAACAACTGAAAGGTCTGGCCATTGCATAAGGCGCTTTGTTATAAATTATTGCTGATATACACATATAATGTACGTTATTAAAATTTTAGTGATTCAGTACCGTTAGAGTTGTTTCAAATTTCAATATTTGTAGCCGTTGAAACAGTTTTTGTAAATCCATAATAAAATTCCGTCCAATAATGTATTTTTTTTATTTAAGCGTCTTGCGTAGAAAAACATAGTTCAAATTCGCTTTCTGAGTAATGTTTGTACACGATAAATCACAAAAAAAAAAAAAAAATGAACCAATTATGTAACTACATGAACATTAAATTGTATGTCGCAAGCAGTACATTTAGTTTTAAAAGTTAAACAAGTCGATTGTTGTCCTAGAACCTTATACCAACTCTAAAATTTAAGTAAGTATTTCTATTAAGCTCTAAAAATTGTAACTACGCATAAACTAAAAAGGCATGAGCCTAATGAGTCATAAGTTATATTGTTTCCGAACAGTAATAAGGAGTTTTTATTGCTAGTTATTTTTTTAATCGATTCTTAATCATTTATTTACACATACATTTTGGAGAGAATTCTATAATAAATGTTGGTGTTTTTCGTTATTTGGCTTGAAGTGTACTAAAGGAAGTGTCACTTCCTTGCCATTAAAAAATGCCATTTTTTAAAATCGTTTTCATAATACTCACAAAAGTAGAACTCTGCGTATACAACCAAGATTAAAAATATATATATATATATATATTTAGTACACCCCAAGTCAAAGAAGAAACATTCAGTAAAATGATTTAGATTTTCCATCATAACTCAAAAAGTTTCAATAGCACAAAGATAAAAAATTACTTTGTACGTAACTAAATTCATTCAGGATGATTCATTTAGGATAAGACACCTATTTTTTCGGAATATACTAATATTTTGAACGATATTTTTTTCCACGATTTTTTGGTACACATTGTACTATATTATGAAATTTTTTTTAAACGGCAACATATGATTTTAATTACATAAATTTGTAGACAAAAAATAAAAAAATATTTTAGCGTTTGAATTTTGAATTTTCATTTATTTGTTAATTTGTTGTAAGTCATATGTCATTTTTCCAAAGAAAAAAAAATTGATTATAAAACAACAAAAAAAACCGTATATTAGAATTTTGCAAATAATGACTTGTATATTGATAAGAGCGTGGCTACGATCTAGAAAAGAAATGTCAATATCTAATACAAAAAATCATTTTAATGTTAAAGTTAAGGAAACTAAAACATCAACAACATCTATTTTCTTGTTTGACATACTAAAAAGCCCTTTTAATTGATCGTTTGTTTGATAACTAAATACACATATAAAAAAATAAAAATAAATATTTTGAGCGCAACAAGTCAAAATTGCAATATTCAACAAAATGATTAAAATTTTTCATTCTAATGCAAATATAAAAATAAAAATGTTTTTACTATCAGTATTTTTTGTTTTTTTGTTCATTGTTAAAATAAATCAGTCAACAGTGAAGAAAAAGTCAATTAAAAAAAAAAATGTATTATTCAATTTAAAAATTAAGTCAAAAGTAAGAAAAAACTGTTTTTAATTTTATTTTTGACGATTTGAAAACGAAATGCTTTAAGCAATTTTTTCACTTATATTAGACAAAAATGAATACCTTCCAAAAATGAGACGTTATTTATGATATATGATGGAAAATCTAAATCATTTGATGAATACTCCTTTTTGACTTGAACGAAATATTTTTTTAAATTGTATTTTTTTAAGCTATTATCATGACGCTACCTTTGTGATATATTATGCAAACGATTTATAAAATTTAATTTTTCACAACATTTTAATGTACTATTTGAAAAGATATTTCATTATTTTTTGTAACGGTAGTAACTTTATTTCTAAAGATATTTTTTTAAAACAAATTACGACATTCTCTCTAAAATGTTATCTTCTTTTCACTGTAAAATCATGAATAATTTCGCTTTTAATCTGTTGTGCCTAGTCAAGTTAAGACGCTTGAGAATTAAGTGTATATTTCTTTCTTTGTTTTCTAATTTCTATTTTGTATAGTGTAACCTAACTTTTACATACAATACAATTAAAATAGTTAACAGACTTATTTTTGTCTATATTCATTTTAGTGAAATAACCGTAATTTTTGCCAAATCAGGTACATTTCAATTTAGATTTCTACCTTCCTTTACAAAAAAAATTAGTTTAACAGACTAGGAAATATTGTGGATCTGGTAAAGAAATGTGTCAATACACAAATATAAATATATTTGTCATATTAAAACTGCCTTGAAAAGCCATTCCTAACCTAACCTTCTTATGTCTGCATTGAAGGCAACAGTAACTAATCTAAAATGTTTTTTATTTATTATTATTCACAGATAAAAATGAAACTCTTCTGTTTATTAGTATGTTTTTTTTTCGTTGATGTTTTGGCAAATGATGATGATGGTATTATTTTATTTCCACAGTTATTAATTTAAAGTACATAAAATTAAAAATAAATATTTCACTTTTTTACAGTGTTTTATGAGCTTAGTATTTACCTAACGAGTCAGTAACAATTTTTTTTTTATAAACAAATGTTTTTAAAATCCACTAATTATATATATATATATATATATATATATATATATTACTTGAAATTATCTATCACAGATCGCGCCATCAGACACGCTTATTTTATGAATAATTTAACTGTAGATGGTAGATCTGGAGCAAGTAAGATATTGTATTTAAAATAATATACTAATAGGTGTATAGACGCATTGTTTTACCTCATTTGATTTTGATCTTCATTTGTTTGTTCTAGATGGTTTGGAGTATGTAATTGAGACAATGAATGATGGCACTAATGACTTAGTATACAAGGATTTCTGTAATCATAATTATAATCATAATCAAAAACAACAAGACAAGAGTAGCAAAAAATATTTGAAAATAATATAATAACTGTATCCCTAGTTTATCGTTATGCAATTGATGAGGGTTATAATTATTATATTTTTCACTGAAATCTAAATAGAAGCTTTACGAAAAAATACTGATGTTAGCTCAATCAACCTCGTCAGATTAATATATTTTATTCTCGTCACCCAAACTGCGTAAACTCAGCTACTACATTTCATAAGGATTCTCTAGCCTGTATTTATAGTTTTTTTCTACTTTGACCTTCGTCTTCTAATTTATAATTATATAACGTAATAGTTTACTATAGAAAGTCCAATTAAATATTATTAATTTCTATAATGTCAATTTCAGGTAGATATAATTTTTTGCTTGCTGTACCAGGTAATAGTTTTTGTCACAAGACACTCTCATCGTGTTGAATATACAGTGGAGATTGTTTCTTCCGAGTTGATAATACACGTTTTTTTTACCTGGAAATTCGTCTTCCTGTTTATAATAGAATAGAAAATTAAATGCAATATCATTAAATAATGTGTTGTTAATTACAGACGAAAAAGAAATTATCTCGAGAACACGGGGTAATTATTTTCATTGCACACAATTTGCTTGATTCTATATGAACACAAGACTTTTGTTTTAATTTCAGCACCTCCAGCACTTCGTGACGAAACACAAAGTAAAAACCCTATTTTCGTATTTCATATTTATTATAAAATATTGCATAATTAATATTTAATACTTTGAAAATAAACATATGTATCTATTGACAAATATCAATATGACACATCGGTTTCAATCATAAAAAAACATGTAGGGACATATAAATATATTTTGTTTTAAATTTTAGAAGCCAATTATTTTTTTCGAAGAATGATACAATACATCGATGATTTATTGGGTAAATATATAATTAAAAAATTAATAGTTACATATTTTTGTAGTTCTAAAAAATAACTCGATTTATAACATAAAATCATAAATCTATATATGTTTTATGTTTAAGCTTTTAAGTACCATTCAAAATATAAATCAAACCGTTTATTTAATCATCGCTATAAGATATAAATTTATCATTATATAATAATATTTTTGATTAATTAATATTGATCTAATTAGTCTCAGTTATAAAGTGAATGTTTTGTATGACATATATAAATCGGGTTTTATTAACTCCATAATGATTTGTTGTTTGATGTGTTTGTTATAGGATCAAGGTTTTATGAAAAATATGATGGTGGTAATTTTTAAATTTTGACAGTCGTAACTAGCCTTAAAAGCTTGTTTTAGAACTGATATTTGCTTTATTTAATTTATTTAATGTTTAATGTCAAATAAACCTAACTTTTTGTTAAGGCTAAAGAAAGAAAGAGAGAGAGAGAGAGTGTGACTACAGTGTTAATGAGTAATAAATTCTTTAGGATTTCTAGTATAGAAAGAATACTTTTGTTGAGTTTCAACACTAAAATATGGTTGTACAAAAAGTTAGTTATAACAAAATTCTTTGCAATGTAATGCAATAATTATATTTAAAGCGGGACTAATATATTATTTATTTTAATTATTTCTTTGCAACACAATCATTTAATAATTATGTTCATAGGTTTGGCAATATTGACAGCAATTACAGACACGAGAAGAAACTATGTTGCTACATCTTCAAAAAATAAAATCAAACATCGTACAATAGGTATATATTATTATGGATTTGGATGGTTTATGAACGCTATTTTTATATATTTAGATATACATTATATTTATATTTAATGCGAACAAGGATACAACTGACGTAAATTTAGCTGGATTTAGTAATTGTATAACCATTTGATGTTTGATGTGTTTGTTACAGGATTTAGAGAAAAAGGATCTTATGATAGAAGTAATTACAAATTTTTTGATAGTCGTAAATAGCCTTAAATGCTTTAGAGTTTTCAAAAGTTTTTTAGCTGATATTTGTTTTATATTATTTATTTAATATTTGTTGACAAATAATTGTTTTAATAAACTAAACTGAGTGTGTGTGACTACAGTGTTAATGTGTAATAAATTCTTTAAGATTTCTAGTGAAGAAATAATACATTTGTTGAGTTTTGACACTAATAAGTGGTTGTAGAAAAAGTTATATCAAAATTCTTTGAAATGTAATATTTTGTTTTAAATTTTAGAAGCCAATTATTTTTTTCGAAGAATGATACAATACATCGATGATTTATTGGGTAAATATATAATTAAAAAATTAATAGTAACATATTTTTGTAGTTTTAAAGAAAAACTCGATTTATAACATAAAATCATAAATCTATATATGCTTTATGTTTAAGTTTTTAAGAATCATTTCAATTATAATTTAAACCGTTTATTTAAACGTCGCTATAAGATATAAATTTAACATTATAAAATAATATTTTGCATTAATTAATATTGATCTAATTAATCTCAGTTATAGAGTGAATGTTATGTATGACATATATAAATCGTGTTTTATTAACTCCATAATGACTTGATGTTTGATGTGTTTGTTACAGGATTAAGATTTTATGGAAAATATGATAGTGGTAATTTTAAAATTTTGACATTCGGAAAAAGCCTTAAAATCTTGTTTCAAATAAACGTTTTAATAAACCAAACTTTTTGTTAAGGCGAAAGATAGAAAGAGAGAGAGACTCTACAGTGTTAATGTGTAATAAATTAAGATTTCAAGTGAACACATTTGTGGAGTTTTGACACTAATAAGTGGTTGTACAAAAAGTTTATTTTTTTGTAACACGGTCATTTAATAATTATTTTCATAGGTTTGGGAACATTGACAGCCCTTGCAGACAAGACAAGAGAATGTGTTGCTTGGTCTTTAAAACATATAATCGGACGTCGTATAATAGGTATATATTATTATGGAGTTGTATGGGTTTTGAACCCTATTAATATATATACATATATAAGTAATGTGAACAAGGATACAACTGAATTTAATTTTTAACAATTAACCAAATAAATTATAACTATCAGCACGTACTCTCATGTAATACAATTAGCATGACTGGACTTATTGTACAGTCATGCTTGTTGTATTGTTTTTTTATGACTTCGTATTAACAAATAAAACAGTCGTTTCCTACACTACAAAGAAAAGTAGTATCTAGTAAGGTAATATAAGCAAATTAAAAAAAATATTTTTAAATTTCTTAATAGAAACTGTGCAAGATGGAGATGATGAAGCCTCTTTATTACTTAAGTGTCGTTTTCTTGGAGTATTCGCTAGTACACAATCTCCATCAACATACATAACAAAAGTTGATATTGACTTACCTGCCCGTACCTGCATCTTCACGGATATTAATGAAGACATAAAGAGATACAACACAGCTGATGTTGTATTTCTTGAGAAACTAATACGAGAGGGTCATCCACAATCTGCACCTTATTAATCTAGCGTTAGTTAAACACTGGCAACTGTATTCTGTTCATTGCACAATAAATTCAAATTTATCTTATTATTATCACTATTATACATTATAAAATCTTAAATTGTAGTAAAATATTAACATTTACTTAAGCTGACGGGAAAAGAACCGTCGATAGATTTTTTCAATAACATATACCACATAATACATTTTTTTGTTAGTTCTTAATAGTATATGTTTATTTCTGTTTTATGACATGTCTACTAATATAATAAATAATTACCGAATATATAAAGTTGTATTTTATTTATCTAATCTATTCCAAATATTTATTTTTGGTTCTAAGTCTTTTACTTATTGTTCTACCATTATTAAATGACTGTGCAAGTTTGGGTGACAGGTTCATCGTTTATACTCCTAATAGATAATTCATCTTAATGGTAATTAGTTTAGGTTAATACTATTAAGTTATCATTTCGTCCCAACACTGATTGCTTATTTCAATAGGTACTAAAATGGCAAATTGAATGTTTTAATTGAGTTTTTAATGTTATAAGATTAATTTTAATACTTTTTGTATATATTTTTATGTAATTTTGAACACACGATTTAAAAATCCTAATACGAAACCTGCTTTTTTTTCAATTTACAAAACTAAAATTTTAGTATTTTTTTTTAAAAGGATTCAAACACATTTTGGTGGACTTGTTACTTCTGAAACTCGACTTTCAATGGTAGTATTGAGTCTATTATTGATTTTTAACTCAAATGTTTACAATGTCATAGCCACCGAAGAGATTGATGAAATATTATAAGTTCTATCCCTAATCAATTTCTTAATTTCTTGTATGTATTCTGGTGGAATACAAAACATATGTTTCTATTTGAAAAAACGGTAGTCCCATACGCCTTTTTTATGTATAAGCTTTGAAGGCAATCATTTTCTAAGTATTGAAAAATATAGTAGTTTATGTACCTAGACGTTTTGAAAAAAAATTGTTTTTAGTATATTCATATTTTCCAAAAAAATGAGTGTCTTACATCAGATGGGTTCAAATTTAGGAAATTTGGAACGTCACGATGGGTCTACGTGAAATGTCTGAAAACATTTGACTAGAACTGATTACACATGTACAATTACTTGAAAATGTGCTATACTTAGACGAAATACGCCTGAATTTTTTTTGTATTGAATTAAAAATAATTTGGTATACTCATTCAAAATCGATAATACATTAGATATAAAGATATTCGATAAATATGTAAATCGCCCTAAGCTGTAAACGTTCAAATATTCGTGTTTAATTGCTTTGCTTTGAAAGTGTCAAGTCACAATAAAAAAAAATTTCAAATATTGGCTTTTTCTGGTACAATACTTATTAGGATGATGTGGTCATTTCACAAATGAATTACCAGTGCTGGATTGGCTGTGTAGGGGTCAGTGAAAAATAGGACGGGAAAATATATATAGACCTACTATTGGTATGGAAAGTCTTCATAGCGTGTCCAATGATAATGGAGCTCGTCTCATATATTTTGCGATGTCCCATGGTATCATAAGCAGCACATTTGCAACACTATCATTTCAAAATTATTTTCATAGAATTGAAAACATTGAAAGAACTTGGAGATGAAAGAAGAAAATATGTTGTTCCAGCTTTAAATAATCTAATCGGACGTCGTATTTTAGGTAAATATTATTATAATGTTGTATGGTTTTTAAACGCTATCAATATATATATATATGTAAGTTATTTAATAGGAACAAGGATTCGACCGATTTTCATTTTTAATAATTCACCTAATAAACTAAAACTACTAAAACGCACTTTCATGTAATACAAATAACATGACTGTACAATACGGACACCGTGCTTATTGTATTATTTTTTTTCCATTCATAAAGAAAAGTAGTGAACTAGTATATTGATACTAGCAGATTAAAAAAGCAGTTTTCCAAATTTTTTAGATGGATCTGTGCAGCATAAAGATGATGATGCCTCTTTATTACCGAAGTGTCGTATTCTAGGGTTATACTTGAGTACACAATTCCCAGAATCATTCATAAAAGAACTTAAGATTGACTCAACTAACCATAAGTGTATCTTCAAGGACGAAAAAAATGCGGTAAGGATGTACGGAAAAATTGTCGACACATGGTATAACTTAAACGAGTCTCAACAAACACTCGAGGAACAATTACGACTTGGAGTCCACCAGTTACAAATGTAGAAGATGGCGCAAACACAATTCCAGAACATTTTGATATTTCTTTTTTTAATAAATAAATACTTATCTCTTTCCTATATTGGGCAACCTCTGTATTACATTATAGTTCACGTTACATTATGTTTTATCAGGATTTAAATAGAGTTCTATTTAACCTAACCTAATCGGTCTAGCGATTTTTGAGATATATAAAGATCTTAAGAATATAAATAAATACAAAAATCCACAGTTAAACTTACCTTTGACCTTGATTTTCTTCAAAAACTTAATCACTTTTGTTGTAATAACCCTAAAGTTAGTATCCTTTTTATAATAAATGAACAATATTTACACTGCAAAAAAATATTTGGGTCGTGATTTTTTTATACTTAAAACCCCTCGATAAGTCACAAACAGTACATATAGTTTCAAAAGTTGATCAAGTCGATTGCTGTCCAAGTACCTCATACCAACTCCACAATTCAAGTAAGTATTTTATTAAACACTAAAAAATTGTATTACGCTAAAATTAATAGGCATGAGTCTAATAAGTCAAAAGTTATACCTAGTATTAAAAAACAGTAAAAATAATTTTGTATTGCTAGTTATTTTTTTGTCGACTCTTAATCATCATTTTACACAATTCGCATTTTGGAGAGAATTCTATTATAGATTTTGGTTTTTTTTCGTTTTTGGCTTGAAGTGTACTACAGGCTGAGTAGTTAAAACAGGCAGTTTTTAAAATCGTTTTCATAATACCTCACTAAAGTAGATCTTTTGCGTACAAAACCAAGGTATAAAATCAAAAAATATATATTTCGTCCACCCGAAGTCAAAAATGCAATATTCAACTAAGCAATTAAGATTTTCAAAATTATAAACTTGCAATAAAAAGTTTCTATTAACTTTGATTTGATTTTTTTGATAAATGTTATTTTCTACACTGTAGACTAGTTTATATTGCATCAAATGAAAAAAAAATATTTATTATATCTTACCAGTTAATCACAGTTGATAACACGATGTATTCGCCAAATATATATATTCGGTAATGTTCAGCATTCGCACAGTTTTTCCGATTGACCATCAGCCCAATAATATATCCATGTTAAAATAATTTTAATACTAATATGTAGGCAACATATATTTATTTCCTTGTTTGACTTATTAAAAAGCACTTATAATATATCGTTGTTTGATAACTGTAGACATGTTATAAATATATATTATGTTCAATCCAACCAAGTTTTTGATTGGAATTAAATCAAACTATGTTTGGAAAGGAATAAAGATAAAACAAAAGGTTTTGATGAGAATGGATAAAACTACTGTTATAGAAAAAAAAAGAAAACCACATCTAAACACACATAATGATAACTTAACCTATGTTAGGGTTAAGTTATACATTTCTAAACAACAATTAACATTTTAATTACTATAATAAAGTATATAATACACAAACACCTATTATTTTATTATGAAATCAAATAGAAATACTGTTATTATTAGTTTGTAACGAATGTCTTACATGCAATGGTTCTTTTCAATGTTCATGTTTTATTAGATTATAGATTTATATGCAATTTTTCAGGTGAACAAAATTGACAAATTTGTAAAAACCAATAATCGTAGTCAAGTTCTGACGCTTGAAAATTAAGTGTATAATATCACTTCATAAAATAGTATAATAAATCACAATCTAAATCAGTATAATAACAGCCGTCAACAAATACCACCCATTGTATAAAAATTTCACTGTTTTGTACAATAGTTTTTGTTACTCTAAGTAATTAGTATCGAAAAAGAATCAAAATATCAAATGTTAGAAATCGGTCAAAATTTTCGGCAAAATATTCTTTAAAAAGTCGACCTTCAAGGAATTCTTCAAACCCTTAGGAATAGTACTATGCCTTTTCTGTCGTTATTTGGCTATATTCGTTTCCTTTTACTAATTTTTGCGCATCGATAAAAAAACCAAAATGACAAATCGTTGTAAAGCAAACACCTAATATTAATAAACGTGTACCTTCGTGTAAGTATTGGTAATGATACAAAAATATGTTATTCTGATATTTTCGATAAATCAAAATACACTAAAAAATTGATAGATTCATTAAGGACAGGACACTCATATTCTCTTAAAATAATAGCATATTTATAATTTTTATAATTGGAGACACTTAATATGGTGTTAATTTACAATATTATAAAATAACCAGACATTTGCATTTTTTTTCACAGTTTAGATTTCCAGAAGCTTAGTGCCAGCAGAAAAAACTATACTTCACTCCACCCTTCCTCCCTAAATTTTTAAGTCTAATAACGCCAAAAGTAATTATCCAAATCGGGTTATCGACCAGTATACTATTCAGAAAATTATTCTTAGTTTAAATAGTAAGATATACGTTACTAAAATTTGATAGGGTTATGGAAAATTCTTAAAACATTTTTTATTTTTATATACTAACTAAAATCTATGTTTTCATCATAGTTCGAAACGGGATGGGTACAACTAGTATTTTTTAAAAGTCGTTTTTATATTTTCAAAAAATGCACTTCTTGCTGCATCGTTCGTATTACTCCAAAATCAAAAGGAAAATCAAATTTTTCCAAGACAAATTTTGTTTTTCTTTATCTTATTTTACAACATGTAACCATTTTTAATATCAATATTTTTTGGTTTTTTGAAAATTTAACCGTACTTATTCCATCTTTAAACTATGATGAAAACATTTGGTCTGTGTGTCCAATAAAAAAAGTTTTATCAATTAAAAATACCCATTGCTTCGTGTTCCGCTGAATTTAAAAATATTTAAAATGACAGTGACCATAAAAGATGGTGGAAAATTGTCAACAAATTAGGGGTCTCATTTTAGGCCAATACGAACCAATAAGTCGTTAATGACAAGACCATGAAATAGGTGTACACATTTTTTTAATTGTTAGAGGGTTGGCATGTGGCATTTAAAAGTATGATTTTCTACGGAAGTATTTTTTTTTTAATTTTGGCCTAAGCGTTAGCTCGAAAACACATTTTCTTTTACTTTAGAAAAACACTTGGGTGTTGCGGTGTGGATTTCCATTTACACTGTTTACATAAATGAAAATTTACGAATCGTGTTTTGCACGTTCAAAAGACGACAACAAATTCAAGGTTTTAAGAAATGCATGGCCATTCCGCCTTATTGACGATTTTCTTAAATAATAAACAAAACGACCTATGTGAATAATTTTTGGGTTTTTTATTGTACAATGTTGTTATTTCAAGGTCATTGTAATTTTCCCCCCTTTGGTATGACGATTTAGGGATGGGTGATTTTGGAATCTCTTATTTTAAATTATTTTAATTGTTAGAGAGTAAGGGTTTTGTATAATTTTGCACATTGGCACATGCGTTTTAAAAGTAAACGAAGATTTCAAAATATGATTTTCTATGGAAGTATTATTTATCGAATTTTCGCCTAAGCGTTAACTCGAAAACACAATTTTTTTACTATAGAAAAACTCTTGGGTTGTTCGATGTGCGTTCCCAATTTCACTGTTTACATAAATGAAAATATACGAACCATTTTTTACACGTTCAAAAGACGATAATAAATTCAAGGTCTCAAGAAATACATGGCCAACCCGACTTGTTGACGATTTACTAAAAAAATAACAATTTATGTGAATCTGTTTTGGTTTTTAGCTTTGATGCGGAGCTAAGAAAGGTTGAACTTTTTCTGGCTATAATTTCTAGAAAAATAGTCGGATTGAGTTAAAATGTATAAAGAATATTTATTTTGTATGTCCCTATACGTAAATAGTTTCAAATTTAAATTATACCCATTTCCCACCTCCCTAGAGGTGGTTAAAGTTTTTTAACCGTATTTTTAAGACCTATTTTGAGGAAATAATTATATAAAAGATAAAAAAAAGTCAGTACTCCAGACTGTATATTGTAAAGCTTTAGCATACCACGTCTCGGCTTTTTTTTGGATCTACATAATATGTACATTTCATTATATAGATTACGTCGGCGTCTTACTCAAAGGTCCCAGTCCTAGTCCCAGATCCTGTTTGAACAGTGCAAAGTGTCCCCAGAGTCGTGGTACATAGAATCGGCCTGTTCCTTTTATCACCTACCTTTCGCTCGAGTATCGTGGTTACCATGATTACAAACCAAGTGTTTATATTGGGTAAGCAACGAAAAATATTTGGTATTTAAAGTAGAAATTCGTGTATGAGGCCATCCTTAGGGGTGGAATTTTCGAAAAGTACTATGACAGTTACCTCCGCAGGAGTGTACTCAACAACTTACCTAAGTTTCATGGCTATCAGGTGAATGGATAAAGGTCACACACACATACATTTATTTTTATATATACAGATAATTTATAGTCTCGACATTTTGTAGTTTTACATTTGTTACGTATATAAGACAAATGTTAATAAGATTTGGGTGTTTTTAAAGATTTGAACATAATATGGTGAGCATTTTGTTTTTCTTTAAATACAACTTTTAGTTCTTTACTAAACCAAGAAAGGTATGATATATTATGTCTACGAATCTTAGGAATAAAATTGTTTAAAAGCAAAAAAAACAGATGATGTAAAATTAATAAGAAGTACCTACATTTAGAGTATATGCACGTTAAGAAAAGAATATTACCGTTGAACCGGATCGGTAAAGTTTTAAGGTAGGTAAATCATTTTTTTTTTTTTTACATTCAATTATTTTTCATCGATAAAGGCATGCAAATTTTCAATGACAAAGTCGGGTACGAGTTGTTCAGTTTGATTTTTTTTCTATGTGCAATAATATTAAGTATAAAAAGCCAGCACAATGGGATCGGGGCATAGCGGTACACGTTTTTATTTTGTGAACAACTGTTTTACAGGTGACGAGTAATCTTAGACATAAGTAAACCAACAAAACAGTATTTTACAAGGTGGATATTACAAAACGCGGTTGGATACTTTCTAATATAAGCAAATCGGGATCGTTCTAAAAAGTTCATCCCTACTCATTGAAAATCGAGAAAAAAAATAAAAAAATAAACTTATCGTATATCTTAAACTTACGGCGAGCAGTTTAAGTATAAAAGTATATCTTTTACAACGATAAAAGTAAGAGAGACGTATTTTGGCACAAGTGTGTATCTTCGCACGCGTTTTTCATTATTTACATAAAATACAACCTTGCGGTTTTGTTTGTACATTAAAACGACCGGGAAACTATTGAAATAAATAAGTTATACGTAGGTAATATTCCAATAATAATTTCTACATAGAACTAGGGAAACCAACCCGCTAAATACACAACCAACATGATTATACTGTCCAACGCAATGAAGTGATTAGTATGACACTTAACTAATCTATTGCTCGTAAGAAATGATTCATTTGGGATATTATTTTTGATAAGTGTGTATTTTTTTTTATACCTCCGATACAAGTTCTAACTTTCTAACCTTACACAGTTATGTGATCCGGTCTATCCGGTGATTACCAATCCGGTTTTTAATAAATAAATTCGGAATTTTACAGATATCATTTAGTACCTATAGATAAGATGTTAAACTTCATAACAATAAAAAAACCGAGAGCAGTACAAACCAAAAAAAAAAAAAAAATTGAATTTGTGTAAACTTAAAGTCAAAAGTGGTAATTGAGGACAAAACTTAATAGTATTATTCTGCATAGATCTACATAAAATTGTTTTAATGATTTAATACATTTTTATCAATTGTGTTATTGTTAAAATATACGCAATCTGCGAAAACACAGTTTTCGGGCAATTAAAAAAAAATTGTAGTGCCGAATTTGTTTTCCGTTTATTATATTATGGATACATATGGGTTCTAACTACTGACAAATTTTCAACTTTAAGATCTTAAAATTACGGCTAAAAAACTAAAAAAACTTGAACCCCCTCTAAAGGGTTGGGAAATGGGTTTAATTTAAATTTGATACAACTGACGTGAGCGGACATACCAAATAAATATTCCTTATACATTTTAACTCGATCCGACTCTTTTTCTCGAAATTATAGCCAGTAAAAGTTTTAACTTACAAACTCGTACGGTTTTTTTTATTTTTTCAAATTTCAACTGTGAAGAAGTAAACTTTTTCAACTTGTACCACACCCCTCCCCCCTCAAAGTACCAACTAGATAAAATTTGTGATTTATAGAGTTGCTATTCGAAGGAATTGGTCCAGTATTAAAAAAGTTACAGTGTAAACAGATAAAAAAAAAAGCCCACATCAGAGTAAAACCAATACCTTCTCGCTTTGCATCGAAGCTAAAAACTATTTGAAAAAAAAATGTTCATAGTGTGACTACTGCCGTTTTTCCCCTGTGCCCTTCATTTAGTCCTAGTTTTCTCTTATAGTGTGTTCTAAATTTTCCATAATGACAGTTAAATTCGTGTTATCACGACATCAGCGAAATTACTGTGTGACCACTTTTAAAGGAATAATACACGAACGCTATCTATACAGATAATACTATGGAAAATATCACAATGAAAAACATGTCTACTTTTAAATTATTAATTTATGGAAAGGTTTTGTTCATTTGTTTACTTATTGTACACACCTTTTATCAAAAAATGCACCAATGCACATTATAATCCAAAATTATGGCTATTTCGTGAACTGTTTTGGCGTTTAAGTCTGAACAATTTCCGACTTGAGAACATTTTAAACTAAAAAATAAAGAAGCAAAGTGGGGTCAGGGCTCGTAGAAGAAGGACAATATTTAAATTGTTGTTATTCACAATTGGTAGATAAATATAATGTTGTAAATTGTAAATGTTTATTATTATTTACAATCAAGGTAGATTAGGTAGCTACAGTAGTAAGCTTGCTGAGGTTGATTAAAATTCTAACTTTACACAGTTTTGTGACCCTAACCATTAACTAAACCGAAAGCCGTCAAATCAATTAATTCGAGATCGTTTAACAACTCAAAGGTCTGGCCAATGTTTTAGATTAAACATAATTAGCATAGGGCACTTTGTTGTAAATTATTGCAGAAAATAATTAGTTAATTCTAATTGATTAAAACTCATCATTATATAATTTACGCTATTCGAATTTTAGTATTTCAATACTGTTACAGTTGTTTCAAATTTCAATATTTGTAACCATTGAAACAGTTTTTGTAAGACCATAGTAAAATAAATATACTATTCCGATGAATAATATATTTTTTTTTATTTAGGAGTAGTGTGTAGAATAAAATAGTCTAAACTACGCTTTCTAAGTAACGTATGTACACGATAAATCACAAAAAAAAAATGAAACAGTTATGTAAATAAATGAACATAGTTACACTACAAAAGCCTATTAGAATTCTGATTTTCTGGTCGAAGTATAGGCCCAACCACAAGTCGCAAGCAGTACATTTAGTTTCAAAAGCTGAACAAATCGATTGTTTCCAACAACCCCATACGAACTCCACAATTTAAGTAAGTATTTTTATTAAACTCTTAAATGTTTAATCATATAGTGTTAAAAAAACCAGTACAGTGGGGTCGGTGCATAGTGGGGACGGAGCATAGTTGGGTCGGGGCATAGTGGTGACGGGGAGGTCACAGGTTTACAGGAATTTTTAAATCTGAAAATGATAAAATCACTTTCGAAAAAACGCTTCGATGCAAATCGGTAGTTAGTATTTTCAAGCCAGTACAGTCCAAACCAAGCACAGTATAAACCAGCAAAGATAGAAAGTTTTAAATGAAGGTTCTGTATTTACAAATGAGCATCAAAGCGTTAATTTTAAAGTGATTTTATCCGAGAGGACTAGTACAGTAGAGTATTGGCATAATGTAATCAAAGCAATGAGGAAACGGAGAGGTCACAGGTCTACAAGAATTATTATAAATAAAAGTGATAAAATTGAATAAAATCGCTTTCAAATTAACGCTTTGATGCTCATTTGTAAATACAGAACCTACAGCGATTTTATTCAATTTTATCACTTTTATTTATAATAATTCTTGTAGACCTGTGACCTGTCCGTTTCCTCATTGCTTTGATTACATTATGCCAATACTCTACTGTACTAGTCCTCTCGGATAAAATCACTTTCAAATTAACGCTTTGATGCTCATTTGTAAATACAGAACCTTCATTTTAAACTTTCTAACTTTGCTGGTTTATACTGTGCTTGGTTTGGACTGTACTGGCTTGAAAATACTAACTACCGATTTGCATCGAAGCGTTTTTTCGAAAGTGATTTTATCACTTTCAGATTTATAAATTCTTGTAAACCTGTGACCTCCCCGTCACCACTATGCCCCGACCCAACTATGCTCCGTCCCCACTATGCACCGACCCCACTGTACTGGTTTTTTTGCTTTATTTCTAACAAACGGTTCCTGTGTGTACAAACGTACCGGGTGATTGGTTAACTATGGACCAGTCAATAACTTAGAAGATATTAGACTTTTTTTAATTCTATTTTTAATTAAATTGTATTGTTATTAGTTGGGACAAATTAAATATATTTTTGAAAAATATAACCCCATCCCATTTATGTTAAAACCGTATGAACTTAAGAATTTTAAACGGTAACGTATACATTTTATTAACTTTTTTAACATTTTGACTGGCCGATAACTAGTTATGGATAATTTCAAGTTTTCAAGTTACTCAGGTTTAAAATTTAAGACGGGAGGGAGGGTGGAGAGTAGAGATGTTTTTATCTGCGCGCATTGCTCAACCACCCTTCCCCTTCCGTCATCAATTTTAAAATTGAATAACTAGAAAACTAATTATCCAAAACTGGTTATCGACCAGTCAAAATATTCAGCAAGTTATTCGTAGTTCAAAAAGTTAATCCAATATATACGTTACTATTTAAAAAACTCAAGTTTATAAGATTTAAACATACAAGGAACGGAGTTATAATTTTAATAAATATATCAAATTTGTCCCAACTAATAATTATTAAATTAAAAAAAAAAAAGTAATTAAAAAAAGTTTAATATATTTTAAGTTATTGACTGGTCTATAGTTAACCAATCACTCGGTATATAAAATAAAATTCGGGCGGTTGCTTTAAATGATAAAAACGCATTATTATTATTTTTACAAAAAGTATAAACGGATATATTAAAATAAAACACGACACAACATACGTTGACTTAGACCGTATTTTATTATAATTTAACTATCTTAACATAGTCCGAGAGACTGGCCTGGTTCATTTAATTCTCTCGAGAAGCGTATGCAGCTCGAGTGATCCGATTTCATTGAATTAACATATTCACTTGGAACTTGGATGCTCTCGCCAGCAATTGGAACATTTAAGTAGTTAAACAGTAAATTAGTTAGTGTTTAGCTAAGGGAAGTCAATCAGAGTAGTGGCTATTGAGTGAGGTTATACGTGGATCTTCGGATTAGCCGCTTCTTAATATCACAGCCTGATTAGACAGAACTTCTGAACGAACTTGTGTAGTCCTTCGACTAGTTATTAGGTAGCATTGGTAGAGGATCACCAAGTTAAAAAGGTATACAAAGTACAAACAAAACAGCAACTTAATTTAAGCAAATAATTATCATACGCTGAGTGAGCTATAGATATACCATTTATAAGTATGCGCGTTAGGAAAACATATCAGTTCCTAAGATGGATGACTGATTTGAATTAGACGCAAGTGTATTTCTTTATTAAATCTAAGTGATAAATTAATTTAATCTACAAGCTGCTGCTTCAACATTGTTGCTCCACTACAAACGAGGTACGTACACAATAACATTTTCACACACATCACAATAATATTTAGCGTAATGGTTTAATTTTGAAGAGGATAGCTCCGTTAGCTTCCATAATTTTTCCCATTTACCCACACACCTTGATCTAAACCATTACAAATGGTGACCAACGTGGGCTTTTACCTCTCTTTTAACCATTATACATTTAAATAAAAAAGTAATTAATACGGCGATTTATATAGGGAAAAAACCGACAATAATAATATTATTTATTTTATTTTATTTTATTACAATACAAACCAAATATGCTATGGGTTAAGTGTCTCTGAAAGAAGTTTCACTTCATCCGCGCGTACTCGTAACAAGCACTGTTTTTTGTTTTATAATGGTAATAACTATATTTCTAAAGATGTTCTTTTAAAACGGATTTGACATTCTCTCTTAAATGTTATCTTCTTTACGCTATTAACTCACTAATAGTTTCGTTTTAAATCCTTTTGGGTTGACTAAGAACCATTATGTGTAGTCAAGCTTAGATGCTTGAAAATTAAATGGATATAAAATGTAACTTTAATAACAAAATTTAGCTGAATACTTTTACCTAATTTCTATTTTGAATAGTGTAACCTAAGTTTTATATTATGCAATTTAAATAGTCAACAGACTTATTTTTATTTTTGTCAATCCTCAGTATAGTGAAATTACTGTAATTTTGGCCAAATAATCAACATTTCGATTTTGATTTCTATCTCCTATACAAAAAAATCAGTTAGCGGTCTAGGAAATATTGTGGGTCAAGTAGAAAAATGTTTATACATACATATGTATATATTAATCATATTAAAAACGGGTTCGCAGAACTATAACATTCTCATCTCTGAACCGGAGGTAACTGTGACTAATATTAAATGTTTTCTTAATCATTATTATTCGCAGATAAAAATGAAAATCTTCTGTTTGGTAATAACTTTTCTATTCCTTGTGGGTATTTTCGCAAATGATTATGGTAATTATTTTATTTTCACACTTACCAACTTAAGGTAGCTAAAATTTGAAAAAAAAATAACATTACACTTTTTTAAAGCGAAATATAATGATCTGGTGGGCCTCACAAGTCAGTAACATTTTTATTTTATAAACAAATGTTTTTAAAATCCACTGTTTTTATACATATTTTTTAAATTATGTATCACAGCTGCAGGCATCCGTTATACTTATTTTCAGCCAATGTCTGTAGAAGGTAGACCTGGAGCAAGTAAGATATTATATTTAAAATTATATATTAATACATATAGAAGCTTTGTCTTACCTAATTTGATTTAGTTTTAATATTTTAGTATAGCAAAAATCTTCATTTGTTTATTCTAGATGCAACAGTATCTAAGTTGGAGTATCTAATTGAGAAAATGGTTGATGATGTCAATAATAACTATAAATACCAAGAATTCCGTAATCATAATTATAATAATAATAAAAAACATCAATACAAGAGTAGAAAAAAATATTTGAAAATAATATAAAAACGTCATCTCCTATTTACTTTATGCAACTGATTAGTGTTATAATTATTATATTTCTCAGCGAAATTTGAATAGAAGCTTTATGAAAAAATACTGATGCTCATAAATAGCTCTATCAATCTCGTCTGATAAATATATTTTATTCTCATCGCCTAAACTGCATCTAATGACTGCATCTAAATGCATCAGTCTATATAATACAGTTTTTTCTACTTTGACTTTCGTCTTATAATTTATAAATATATATAATGTGATAACTAATAATTTATTATAGCAAATTCAATTCAATATCATTTATTTATTTAATGTTAATTTCAGGTAAAATTTGTTTTTTGTTAGCTGTACCGAGTAATAGATTTTGTTATATTTTATAAAATTATTTCCAATATTTAATTCCTATTGAATTCTCCAAAGAGACTCTCATCGTATTTAATATACAGTGGAGCATACTTCTTCCAAATTATCAGCGCACATGTTTTTTCTTCCTTGAAATTTATCTTCTTGTTTATAATAGAATATAAAATTAAATGCAATAACATACATTTTTGTGTTGTTAATTTCAGACGAAATAGAAATTCTCTTGGAAGTAGACGGTAATAATTTCTCATTGCACTTTATGGAAGCGTTCCAAACAGTTGTTTGATATTCTTTATGCACACAAGATTTTTGTTTTAATTTCAGAACCTCCACCTCGCCCAATTGAAAGTAAAAACCTTTTTTTATATATAATATTTATTATTCTTATTGCATATTTATTATTTATATTAAGTTGAGAATAATAATATGTACTTATTGACAAATACCAATATGAAATATCGGTTTCAATAATAAAACATATGTGGGTACATTAAAAATAAATGTACATTAAATGTAGTTTGTTTTAAATTATAGAAGCCAATCAATTCTTAGACATAATGCTTCAACAATTAGAGGCACTATTAGGTAAATATAAAAAAGAATGTATTTTTTAATTAAAAAAAAAAAAATAGTTACATATTTTTTTATTTTTAATAAAATAATAAAATAAAAATTGAAGTCATAAAGTTATATACGTTTTATGTTAAAATTTTAAGAATTATTCAAAATAAAATGTAAACCGTTTATTTGAAAATCGTTGTAAGGTATAAATTTACATATTTCATACAATAAAATATTGCATTAATTAATATTGATCTAATTAACCTCAGTTATAGAGTAAATATTTATATATAATTTATATAAACCTGGTTTTATTAACTGCATAATAATTTGATGTTTGATGTGTTTGTTACAGGACTAAGTGGCATATATTCAATTGATTTTGCTCGTAATTACGATTTTTTTTATATTCATTAATAGCCTTAAAAGCTTGTTTTAGATTTGATATTTGCTTAATTTTATTTATTTTATTTTTGTCAGAAAACAATTGTAATAAATTCAACTTTTTGTTGAGGAGAGAGTTAGAGAAAGTGAGACTAGAGTGTTAATGTGTAATAATTTTTTGGGGATTTGAAGTATAGAAAGTGTACATTTGTTGAGTTTCAACAATAATATGTGACTGTACAAAAAGTTGGTTGTATCACAATTAGTGAATAATGTATTATTTATCTTTATTATTTCTCCGCAATACGGTCTTTTAATAATTATTGTTTTAGCCGGGGCAACACGTGAAGACGTTAAAAATATAAGAAGAGCATATGTTGTTTGGTCTTTAAGAAGTGCAATCACACGTCGTATATTAGGTAAATATTATTATGGAGTTGTATGGTTTTTAAACGCTATTAATATATATATATATATATTTTTTTTTAAGTTATTTAATAGGAACAAGGATACAATTTATTTTACATTTTAACAATTAACTAAATAAATTATAACTACTTACACGTACATTCATGCAATACAAACAGCGTGGCTGTTCAATACGACACCATGCTTATTGTATTATTTTTTATGACTTCGTAATAACAAATAAAATAGTTGTGTCCTGCACAATAAAGAAAAGTAGTAACTAGTAAGCTAAAATGAGCATACTAAAAAAAAAATGTTTTCAATTTTTTTAGGTGCACCTGATGACGCCCCTATATTACCTAAGTGTCGTTTGCTAGCATTGTACTTGAGTACACAATCTCCATTAGCATACATAGAAGAAGTTAACATTGACCCAACTGGCCATACATGTATCTTCAAGGATAGACATCATTTCGAAAAGAGATACAGTAAAATCGGTGGCTCGTGGTCAGAAGTAGACGGAAATGGCCAATTCCGAGAAACACTCGAGACACAATTACAACGTATACAACCACAAGTTCCACCCACATCCTAACCTAATGTCAAAAAAACAGTGGCCTCCGTATTCTGTTCTTTACATAATATATTATAGTTTATCTTATTATTATCACTATATACACTATAAAATCAGAATTTTTAAAATATTATACATATATTTAAGCTGACGGGAAAACAACCGTCTTTGGATTTTTTCAATAACATATTTCATATAATACATTTTTTTGTACAGTAAGTACGTAACTTTATATGTCTATTTATGTGTCATATCATGTCTACCAATAAAATTAATGATTACCGAATAAGTAAAGTTGTATTTTTTCATCTAATCTATTCCAACTATTTATTACTGCTTTTAAATCCTTACACTTTATATTTCTACTTTTATTAAATTACTGTGCGAATTTGGGTGACAGGTTCATCGTTTATATTTCTAATAGATAATTCATCTTAATGGTTATTAAGTATTATATAGAGATTTGGTGTTAGAGGTAACATAACCTAAACGGAGTTCTAATGATGAGTGACTAAATAAAACAGTCTAGTGTATATTTTACATAAAAAGCCAGTTATGGAAATCCTGGCTGGTCAACCACAATGGTATTAGATTGACTTAAAATATATCATTGAAATACGAACAATGCAGGGTACGATAACTAATCCTACATAATATTTTAAATCAAAAAGAATGCCGATTTAAATTTTTTTTTCCAACGCATTGTTGTGTGCTAAATTCTAAATTTGTAAACTTGTTTTTTGTGGGCTACTACTCATGTTGTATACTTTACGTGTACGTGTGTACTACTTTGATATTTACATCGCTACGAAGATAAAAAAATAAGACACTAAAAACAATGAAAACTGACTGTGGTTTTGCACACAAATTCAAGGTATTTTATGTCTAACGCATTGAATAATACACAAAATCTGGGAATTAAAGGTAAATAATGTACTAGCGCATTTCATACAACAAAATTCCAAAGTACAAAATAAAATCTTACACATTATCTAGTGGAAGTCCGAATTTGGACCTCTGATTAAAGAATTCTGAACACATTGAAAAAAAAATATCGTTCTACTCGTTAAAATTGTTCTAGATAAAAAAAAAAAATATATATATATACAGGGTGATCCAACTAACGTAAGACACTCATTTTCAAGGAAAATATGAATATTTTGAAAAAAAAATTTTTCCTATTCTTTTAGATATAAGTTTTACTACATTTTTCAATGCTTTGAAAACTTTTATTTTCATCCCTTATACGATAAAAAGCGTCTAAGTTCACGTTTTCAAATGGCAACATATGTTTTTATGTCCATAAATTTGTAGGCAAACAATTTTAAAATATGTTATCGTTTGAATTATTGATTTTTATCCATCTAGTCGTTAGCTATGACTTTGTAAAGATATTAAATTTTCTCTTAACAATTGTTATATTTCTATGGTTTTCCAAAGACCGGGGGCCAATAAAATACTTATTTATGATCGCATTGTCCGATAGATGAGTTCACAGATAATCAAACACAATAAAATGTTTTGTGATATTTTGGTTGACCAGCGACTCATATTTATAGATAACCGACTTTTCTAACACACCGTCATGACAGGTAGGTTGACAGACCTATATTGAAAGCGGCTAACGAATGGCTATTTTACCACAACAATCAAAAACTGTGGTACAAGTAGGTTGAGAACTGCTGCTATGATGATAATACAGAATATTATTATCATTAATCTAGTCATCATAGTTTTCTACTATCTATGTTCTACATTCAACAAGTAACAGCACAGGCTAACAGATTATTATCATGCTATTATGAAAATTATAATTTTTATAGTCCTTATAGGTAGTAAACAATGGCTTTAAAATTTGGCTTACAATCTCATAAGTGCATACATTGAATGGACAAGCGTCGCGAAGCGTTACTATTATTTGTTTAATTATGTTCAATTTATTCAGAAGATGTTCTGTGCTCAAATAATTGTTTTAAACAATTTACACTAAATAAGGAATTTTGGATTTAATTTGCTTACTATTTTAATTCTACAGTAAATATTTAAAATGTTGCCTATTTTACATTTATAAATAACTTTTTATATAATCAACTTTATTAATAAAAAATAATGCAAAAAAGTGGACTGTGTTTAAATGATTAAGTTGTCTAAAGACTAGATATTTGTAAACAGTGTTTAAAAAAACCTACAACAAAATCACAGTTAAGTTTGAAATTTTATTAGTTATCGACTTAATTTAAGTCGGTAGTTCCAAACTGTGATTCAAAGTACTTTTACTTTTTTTTCAGTTTTCCACATTCTGTTGGCAAAAAAGATTTGATTTTTCTGTAACGGTAAATTTTTCAACATCATTGATATTTAATTTTTTTTCTAAGTCAAGTTATTTCTTATCAAGATCACGTTAATAAAAATATGGTTCAATAGTTTGTGACTCAATTACACAAAATCACACTATGATACTCAAACTTCAGAAATAAAGTTAGGGGTTGTGTCACGCAAACATTAAATTATCAGAACTTGTCTTTTTTATTTTATTAATAACTATTAAATTAAATAGTTTATATGTTTCTAATCTTTTTATTAGTACTTACTAATTATTATTATAACTTATAAAATATATAATGTTATAATAATAGTGATTCTAAAGCCTTTATAATAAAATATGTCTGTTACAAAAATTTAAAATTGAAAACTTAATTCTTTTACAGTTGAATCTGCTTATTTAGATTTTATGTATAATCAGTATTTTCTTATTTTTCTTATTTTTTTCACTTTTTAATATATAGAAGTGCCAATAATAAATTTAATATCTTGGAGACGCTTTCATATTTAGGTGACTAAATTAAGGTACATAATTTGTTTTGGTTTAAGAAAAATAATAGTTCAGAAAATGTATTCTACTGTAAATATTGCTTAAGAATAATTCTAGTAACTCTAGTAGTAGAAGTAGTAGTCCTATCGATAACAAATTAGTTGATCCGGATTTTATTCCGTCCTCTAAAGTAAAAGCTCAAATTCCCGTGCCTCCTTAACGAAAGTTGCAATCAGATCTCCCATCAAATTCGTCTATTAAGAAATTATTAACTGAAGGCGATACTCTACTCCAAAGCTCCTCTGAACTTTTGAACACAACTTTTGGTAAACTAGGTGAAACCGACAGTTCTCTAGGGCAGTGTAGTAACACTTTGTTAAAGTCAGCCATGAATATCTACTGAAAAACATAACCTCAGCGCAAAGTCTCCAGAACCTCCTATTACACTGACATTTCAACGTCGTTCTCATAATTTCTATATTTTTACCGACCAATCTCGCAACACGTTAGACACGACCTCAAATTTCTAGGGTGCAAAAACACAATACATTTTCATTATTTTTAGGGTCTTTTTTTTTTAGTTTTGTAGCAATGTAAATACCAAATCACGAGTTATGTCCATTGTGGCCGACCGGTCAGGATATTTTTTTCCATAACTTAATAAAATATTTTAAACTTTTTTTTATAACTGTCGATATATATATATATATATATATATGTAATTAATTATTCTAAACGTTTTATTTAGTAACCAACATTTGAACTCCATTTAGGTTATGTTACATCTAACATCAAATCTCTATATAATAACCATTAAGATGAATTATCTATTAGAAATATAAACGATGAACCTGTCACCCAATTTTGCACAGTCATTTAATCAAGGTATACATACTCGTATAAGGAAAGGATTTAGAAGCAGAAATAAATAGTTGGAATAGATTAGATAAAAAAATACATCTTTACTTTATCAGTAACTATTAATTATATTTTGATAGACATGAAATAAAACAGAAATAGACATTACAAAAATTGTATTATGTGGAATATGCTATTGAGAAAATCCACCGACGGTTCATTATCCGCCAGCGTATATATGTATAATATTTTACAATTTTATATTGCATATAGTGATAATAATAAGATAAATTATAATATAACATGGAATGAACAGAATATAGATGCCAGTGTTTTTCTAACATATACAGGTTTTAAATTATAATGGTAGACGTTCAAAATGTTCGATGTGGGTGGAATCGTAGACGTCCAATCTCATTTTGCCTTCATTATTATCGATTAAGATACATTTACGGTAAGTTAAGTCAATCTCAACTTCTTTTATGTATGAACGTGGTAATTGTGTACTCAAGTATAATCCTAGCAAACGACATTGAGGTAATAAATAGGCTTCATTATTCAAAGTTCCATCTAAAAAATTTGAAAATTTTGTTTTTTAATTTAGTGATATTAGTTTACTATTTACTACTTTTCTTTGTGATCTAGCACACAAATATTTTATTAGTTTATATGAAGTCATAAAATAATACAATAAGCATGGTATCCGTATTGTACAGCCAAGCTATTTGTATTACATAAAAGTACTTGTTAGTAGTTATAATTTACTTGGTTAATTGTTAAAAACTAAATTCATTTTTATCCTTGTTCTTATAAAATAACTTATACACAAATATGAGCCAGTAAAAATGAAAGTTGCGTAAGTCATATTTAAGTTGTTTTAAGAAATAGAAGGGGTTTGCGTTTTGTATTTCTATAGCTTTGTATTAAATAACAACATTCTAGGCGGTGCTCTCTCTTAGAGTATGATTTTTTTTAAATTTGACTTACGGCACTTTCATTTTCACCAGCTCATATAATATTGATAGCATTTAAACACTTTACAGCTCTATAATAATATTTACCTGATAAACGACGTCTCATTATCCTTATTATAGCAGGAACAACAAAATCTCTCCGTTCGCTTGCAAGTTCGTTTGGTGTTCCCAAATCTATGAAAATAATTATTATATGACCATGTTGCGAAGAAATAATAAAAATAAATAATATTTTAGTAGCTCTTTATGCATAATTAATGCATTACATTACAAAGAACTGTAAGAAGAATTAACTTTTTGTTCAACCATTTTGAAACTCAACAAATGTATTCATTCTGTACTCGAAATCCCAAAGAATGTATTACACATTAACACTGTCATCACACTCTCTCTCTCTCTCTTTCCTCAACAATAATTTTAGTTTACTAAAATAATTAGTATTTGACATAAAACATTAAATAAATAAAATGTACCAAATATCAACTCTAAAATACGGTTTAAAGGCTATTTGAAGCTATCAAAATATTCGTAATTACCTTGTTTAATTACAGCAAATACACATCCTGTAATAAATAAATCAAACATTAAATCATTAAGCAGTCAATAAAACAAGGTTCATACCTTTATAGTATCCGACCTTTTTCCCTAATCAAAATTCCCGTATGACTTTTTTCCGGAAAGTCCGTATACCCGATGCTTGTAATGAAAATATTTATTACTTACATTTTACAAGTCATTCGGTAATTCGAATGACTTATTTTAAAGTCATCGATTCGGGAAAAATACCGTGAACCATATTTTATACATTCACTCTATTAACTGAAGTTAAGTAGATCAATATTAGCTATGGTAAAATATTTTTGTATAAATGTCAATTTATATCTTATAGAGATGTATAAATAAACGATTTAAATTATATTTCAAATGATTCTTAAAAGTTTAAACATAAAACATATGTATAGCTTTATGACTTGAGGTTATAAGTTTATTTTTTGTATAAAACTACAAAAATATGTAACTATTTTTTTAAATTTTTTTATATTTACCAATTATACTTTCTATGTCTTGTATCAGATTTCGAAGGTAATAAATGGCTTCTAAAATGTAAAACAAAAACAATTTAAATGTACCTACATATTTTTTAAGATTAAAACAGATATGTCTTATTAGTTTTTGGGAATAAGTAGATATGATTCTTATCGAAGTGTTAAAAATATAAAATATAAAAATATGGTTACTTTCTAATTCCTCTTTGTCTATTTCATCTGAAATTTAAACAAAACTCTTATGTGAATAAAGAATATCAAAACAATTGTCCATTAAGTGCAATGAAAATTATTACCCGCTATTTCCGAGACAATATCTGTTCGATCTGAAATTAACAACATATTAATTTAATGATATTGCATTGTTTTTTATTTTCTACTATGAACAGGAAGACGAATTTCATGGTAGGAAAAACATGTGTGTTAGTAACTTTGAAGAATCATGCTCCACAGTATTTTCATTAAGATGAGAGTCTCTTTGGAAAATTTAATAGAAATGAAATATTGGAAATATTTTCATAAAATTCAACAAAAACTATTACCCGGTACAGCGATCAAAAAATTAATTTTGCCTGGAAATGATATTACATAAATTAATGATATTGAATTCGACTTGCTATAATAGATTATTACATTATTTAATTATAAATTAATAGACGAAGGTCAAAGTAGAAAAAACTATAATATTATATAGACTGGGAAATCGTTATGAAATGTAATGGCTGAGTTCATGCGGTTTAGGTGATGAGAGTAAAACATATTAATCCGACGAGGATGCTAGAACTAACATCAGTATTTTTTCATAAAGCATCTATTCAAATTACGGTGAAACATATGATATTAATAACACTCATCAATTGCATGCAATTTTCTAATATTTTTTTCTACTCTTGTCTTAATTCGTTTTAATATTATTATTATAATTATGTTTACAGAAGTCCTTGTAGTCTAGGCCGTTATAAGAATTATCAACCAATGTTTCGATCAGATGCTCCAATCGATCTAGAATAAACAAATGAAGATTTTGTCTATATTAAAATATTGAAATATAATAAAATTATATACCATAAAAATGTTAGAATAATATTGAACCCGGCTTTGAGCAGTAGCCATTTAACTTAACGTTACTCCCATTTAATTAAGTTTCAGGTTCAATTATTAGAAACAGCTTATGTACAAAAACACTTCGTTAACTCAGTATAAATGGTAGATAGGTAAAAAATAATAATTGTCAACATAATCCTTAAAATACATGGTATAACATAGGAACTACCATATTGTTTTATAATATGTATTACCAGTCATAAGAATAACTAAATTAATTTATTACGGAAGTCGAAGTTTGTTTTTCTACTTCCGAACTAGTAAATAAATTTTATTATTAGAACATAGTAAGAAAACTATTGCAGGAAAACAAACTTCGACCTCCAGCCAAGTAAAGTAAAATTACTTATTTTCATGACTGGTTGAAAAACATGTAGACAGATTTTTGTTTGTTGGCAACGATGTATAATACATTTATTACATTATGGTATTTACATAGTTACTATATTATATTACATATATATTTTAAGACTTATTTTGAAATTTTTTTTTTACTTTGTGACCATTTACACTTAGTTAATGAAGGGTATTTGTTGGGATAACAGTAGTTTTGTTTATACATTTAAATAGAAATGACACAGAGTACTCACTCGTTATTACAGAATATAGAATTGAAAAAATGAGAAAAATTAAATTTTTTATTTATTTTATTTTATTTTATTATACTGTCTGTAACGCGTGGTTCATTATAAATTTATCATAAAATATTTGATAAAACAACTGTCTGGAGACCTCAGAAGTGTTGTACTATTTTGCTTGTAACTAAGAAAGTATTCGACCAATATATATGTTTATTTGAAATACCAGATCTACACAACTTTTCCAATCTAATGATATCTCATAAAACCAATTTTGTTTAGCTATTTAATCACAAAAAAGGCGCAACATTTTTGATCAAATTTTAACGCGTTTAATGGGATTGCGATACTTTGTGTGTAGTATAAACTAGGGTTGGGCCTATCCGGATATTCGGATATCCGAATTGTCCGGATAATTCGGATACGGATATCCGAAATCCGGATAGTTTCGGATATCCGGATAATTGATCAACTATCCAGATAGTTAAAAATTATCCGGATAGCTTCGGTTATTCATTTCATTTTTATAAGACAAATATATCTTAATAATATACGGTGTTTTTAAACATACCGAATAATAAAATAATGACACCTAATTAAATTTTACTATCACATGAATGATTTTTAGATATATTCGTGTCAGTGGTTGTTAACCGACTATTCGGACTCTTTGCAGAGTCCATCCTCAGGGTTGTCACGACTGTTCCGCTGCCGGTTAATAACCACTGACACGGATATATCTGAAAATCATCCACGTGATATTTCAACCCGTAAAAGTTTCAAAAAATACATAAATTTGAGTACTCAAAAAAATATAATCGGCTGGTTAAAAATTAAATGAATATCCGAAACTATACGGATAATTTTTAACTATTTGGATAGTTTTGGTTCTACGGATAATTGAAATATTATTTGATATCCGAAACTATCCGGATAGTTTCGGTTATCCGGATAGTTGATCAATTATCCGGATATCCGAAATTATCTGGATTTCGGATATCCGTATCCGAATTATCCGGATATCCGCAAAATCCGAATATTAGTCCCAACCCTAGTATAAACGGCGGTGGACGCTTCGCTATTTTTTTTACATAGTTCCACGCCACTACCGTATCGCTGGATACTGTTCTGTACACTGCTCTACATATCTGGTACACTTTTCTTAACTATTGAAAAAAACTGTAATTTTTAACTTACTAATAACTTGATAATTAGGTACATATAACAAAGCTTCTATATAATATATTAGTATAATATTTTAAATATAATATCTTACTTTTTCTAGCTCTATTTCCTACAATTAAATCATTTAGAGTAGAAGCTTGTTTGATGGCTCCAGCTGTGATACAAAATTTAAAAAATACATATAAAAACAGTGGATTTAAAAAATTAATAAACATTTTTTTTTTAAATATAAATGTTACTGACTTGTTATGTAAATACTATACAAGTAATCATCTGCAATAAAGTGAAATATTGATTTTTTTTTTAAATTGAAAGATTTTATTTGTATAACTATGAAAATAAAATAATTACCATAGACATTTGCGAAAATATCCACAAGGAATAGAAAAGTTACTAATACACAAAAGATTTTCATTTTTATCTGCGAATAATAATAAAGAAATATACATTTGATATTGGTCACAATTGTTTTTGGTTCGGAGATAAGAAGGTTATGGTATTTTGAAGCAATTTAAATAAGATAAATATATTCATATATATATATTGAATTTTAAGAGGAGTGACTTATTTACATAAATTTATAGCTCTCACAAGGCACATCTTGTGCCTAATATATTTTGTTGTTTAAACGGGTTTCTTTTTAAGAAACTTATTCATCAACGATACTCTGACCTGAGGCTCTATGTAATAATACATTTAACAACTTGGCTTATTTGGTTCTAATAATATGGGAAATATTTCAAATATTGGACAATTTTTTTGTACAACGCTAACCAAAATTGTTTTTTACTAAATATATATTTTACCCGGCTATAGTGCTCTTTAGAAACATGAACGGTCTGTTGTTATACAAATAACATTGCCATTTGCGTCATACTTTAACAATACTGTTTCTATAAAGTTTTAATAATATCTGTTAAATATTGTCCTACTTAAAATGTGGGATAATATAGGGACACGATCAATTTCTAGCGGGAACAACTAAATACATAATTGTCCCAACTAAATTATTACAGGAACAAATGTGAATTATTTATTCCAACTACAAATTTATTTTGACCCTATAATAAACAGACTTTTAGTTGGACCTACTTTGAATTTTGAGAGGAGTGACTTATTTACTTAAATTTATAGCTCTCACAAGGCACATCTTGTGCCTAATATATTTTGTTATTTAAACGGGTTTCTTTTTATGAAACTTATTCATCAACGATACTCTGACCTGTGGCTCTATGTAATAATACATTTAACAACTTGACTTATTTGGTTCTAATAATATGGGAATTATTTGAAATATTGGACAATTTTTTTGTACAACGCTAACCAAAATTGTTTTTTACTAAATATATATTTTACCCGGCTATAGTGCTCTTTAGAAACATGAACGGTCTGGTGTTATACAAATAACATTGCCATTTGCGTCATACTTTAACAATACTGTTTCTATAAAGTTTTAATAATATCTGTTAAATATTGTCCTACTTAAAATGTGGGATAATATAGGGACACGATCAATTTCTAGCGGGAACAACTAAATAAATAATTGTCCAAACTAAATTATTACAGGAACAAATGTGAATTATTTATTCCAACTACAAATTTATTTTGACCCTTTAATAAACAGACTTTTAGTTGGACCTACTTTGAATTTTAAGAGGAGTGACTTATTTACTTAAATTTATAGCTCTCACAAGGTACATCTTGTGCCTAATATATTTTGTTATTTAAACGAGTTTATTTTAATGAAACTTATTCATCAACGATACTCTGACCTGAGGCTCTATGTAACAATACATTTAACAACTTGACTTATTTGGTTCTAATAGTATCCGAAATATTTGAAATATTGGACAATTTTTTTGTACAACGCTAACCAAATTGTTTTTTACTAAATATATATTTTACCCGTTTTTGGTGTTTTTTAAAAAGATGAACGGTCTGTTGTTATACAAATAACATTGCCAATTGCGTCATACTTTAATAAAATGCTTCTATAAAGTTTGAATAATATCTGTTAAATATTGTCTTACTTAAAATATGGGATAATAGAGGGACACGACCAATTTCTAGCGGGAACAACTAAATAAATAATTGTCGGGGCGGACAAAATATTTTTATTTTTTTATATTTGATTTTTAATGTGTATTCAATTATCAAAGAAACGATAAATTATATTAAATACTTTTTAGTTTTATAACCAATTTTTTTTTTCATTCGAAAAATGACTAATATTTTTCTTGAAAATTTAAGTCAAAGTAAAAAGAAACTTATTTTTGCATGTTCTTAGTGTTAACAATGTATTTTTGGCGATCAAACGAAAAACAATTTTAAATACCGTGGTATATATTTGTATATACTCACTTGGGCACACGCTGTACACAACAAGTGTGTCACAAGACCTGGCGGCGCGCGTTGGTATCGTGGAGCGGTGTAGCGGTAATCGGTACGAGATGCGGTGACACACGCGCAACAAGAATACAACTCTGTGGCTTGGAGCAAAAAGGGCCAGCGTCGATTTTGTGCACAAGCGAGTTAGTTCGCTAATTGAAAAAATTGAATCATTCTTAATATACTGTGAAAAAATCACACTCTGAGGTCAAAAAATGAATTACTCACGAAGAGTTTGATGAGAAAAAATTAACACAGAGCCTAATGAAAAATAAAAACTTCAAAGCTCATTTTCCGAAAGTTGCAAAAAGCGACATTGGCCCTTCTTGCTCCACCAAGCCACAGAATTATACGACCAACTCAAAAAAAAACAACTCATAACCGGTGGATCAACCAAATGGGAAGACTTAATACTAAAAAAATAATCATTGGTTCGAAAGACCAAATAATGTTCGTTAAAAGGAAAACTGTATAGTAAGTATGTACAAATATATAACACGATATTTAACTCATGCAAAGAACTGCTATTAAAAAACAAAGAATACTATACAATAAGTTCTCATCACTGGCCAGCTCGCTATGACAATATAACTAACTTAAAACTAAATATATACAATTATGCAATAATATTTACATCGGTCGCTCTGGTAGTCGGTCGGTTCAGTGTTGTGGACTGTACAGTAAAACTCGGAACGGTCGAATGTGATTATTGCTCTAATACAAAACGGTTTTGAGTAAAACAAAAGGAAAACGGTGTACAGAAAAAAACCAATAAAATCAAGCAAAAACACGGTTGAACGGTAGAGAACAACGGTGATGTGGTATCAGCTGCTGCTCGGTACGATGAATCATCTGCAGCATCGTGTGGTCGGTAGTGTTGGAAAACAGAGGCAATCTTGTGTCTAACATATTTTGTTATTTGAACAGGTTTCTTTTTAATACAATCTGAATATACTCAGATATATATTTTACCCGGCTATAGTGCTTTTTAGAAACATGAACGGTCTGGTGTTATACAAATAACATTGCCATTTGCGTCATACTTCAACAATACTGTTTCTATAAAGTTTTAATAATATCTGTTAAATATTGTCCTACTTAAAATGTGGGATAATATAGGGACACGATCAATTTCTAGCGGAAACAACTAAATACATAATTGTCCAAACTAAATTATTACAGGAACAAATGTGAATTATTTATTCCAACTACAAATTTATTTTGACCCTTTAATAAACAGACTTTTAGTTGGACCTACTTTGAATTTTAAGAGGAGTGACTTATTTACTTAAATTTATAGCTCTCACAAGGCACATCTTGTGCCTAATATATTTTGTTATTTAAACGGGTTTATTTTTATGAAACTTATTCATCAACGATACTCTGACCTGTGGCTCTATGTAATAATACATTTAACAACTTGACTTATTTGGTTCTAATAGTATCCGAAATATTTGAAATATTGGACAATTTTTTTGTACAACGCTAACCAAATTGTTTTTTACTAAATATATATTTTACCCGTTTTTGGTGTTTTTTAAAAAGATGAACGGTCTGTTGTTATACAAATAACATTGCCATTTGCGTCATACTTTAACAATACTGTTTCTATAAAGTTTGAATAATATCTGTTAAAACTTGTCTTACTTAAAATATGGGATAATAGAGGGACACGACCAATTTCTAGCGGGAACAACTAAATAAACAGGTGTCCCAACTATATTATTACGAAACAAATGTGAATTATTTATTCCAACTACAAATTTATTTTGACCCTTTAATAAACAGACTTTTAGTTGGACCTACTTTGAATTTTAAGAGGAGTGACTTATTTACTTAAATTTATAGCTCTCACAAGGCACATCTTGTGCCTAATATATTTTGTTATTTAAACGGGTTTCTTTTTATGAAATTTATTCATCAACGATACTCTGGCCTGTGGCTCTATGTAATAATACATTTAACAACTTGACTTATTTGGTTCTAATAATATGGGAATTATTTGAAATATTGGACAATTTTTTTGTACAACGCTAACCAAAATTGTTTTTTACTAAATATATATTTTACCCGGCTATAGTGCTCTTTAGAAACATGAACAGTCTGGTGTTATACAAATAACATTGCCATTTGCGTCATACTTTAACAAAACTGTTTCTATAAAAATTTAATAATATCTCTTAATTATTGTCCTACTTAAAATGTGGGATAATATAGGGACACGATCAATTTCTAGCGGGAACAACTAAATAAATAATTGTCCAAACTAAATTATTACAGGAACAAATGTGAATTATTTATTCCAGCTACAAATTTATTTTGACCCTTTAATACACAGACTTTTAGTTGGACCTACTTTGAATTTTAAGAGGAGTGACTTATTTACTTAAATTTATAGCTCTCACAAGGCACATCTAGTGCCTAATATATTTTGTTGTTTAAACGGGTTTCTTTTTAGGAAACTTATTCATCAACGATACTCTGACCTGAGGATCTATGTAATAATACATTTAACAACTTGGCTTATTTGGTTCTAATAATATGGGAAATATTTCAAATATTGGATAATTTTTTTGTACAACGCTAACCAAATTGTTTTTTACTAAATATATATTTTACCCGTTTTTGGTGTTTTTTAGAAATATGAAGGGTCTGTTGTTATACAAATAACATTGCCAATTGCGTCATACTTTAATAAAACTGTTTCTATAAAGTTTGAATAATATCTGTTAAATATTGTCCTAGTTAGAATATGGGATAATATAGGGACACGATCAATTTCTAGCGGGAACAACTAAATAAATAATTGTCCCAACTAAATTATTACAGGAACAAATGTAAATTTTTTATTCCAACTACAAATTTATTTTGACCCTTTAATACACAGACTTTTAGTTGAACCTACTTTGAATTTTAAGAGGAGTGACTTATTTACTTAAATTTATAGCTCTCACAAGGCACATCTAGTGCCTAATATATTTTGTTGTTTAAACGGGTTTCTTTTTAGGAAACTTATTCATCAACGATACTCTGACCTGAGGATCTATGTAATAATACATTTAACAACTTGGCTTATTTGGTTCTAATAATATGGGAAATATTTCAAATATTGGATAATTTTTTTGTACAACGCTAACCAAATTGTTTTTTACTAAATATATATTTTACCCGTTTTTGGTGTTTTTTAGAAATATGAAGGGTCTGTTGTTATACAAATAACATTGCCAATTGCGTCATACTTTAATAAAACTGTTTCTATAAAGTTTGAATAATATCTGTTAAAACTTGTCTTACTTAGAATATGGGATAATATAGGGACACGATCAATTTCTAGCGGGAACAACTAAATAAATAATTGTCCCAACTAAATTATTACAGGAACAAATGTAAATTTTTTATTCCAACTACAAATCTATTGTGACCCTTTAATACACAGACTTTTAGTTGGACCTACTTTGAATTTTAAGAGGAGTGACTTATTTACTTAAATTTATAGCTCTCACAAGGTACATCTTGTGCCTAATATATTTTGTTGTTTAAACGGGTTTCTTTTTAGGAAACTTATTTATCAACGATACTCTGACCTGAGGATCTATGTAATAATACATTTAACAACTTGGCTTTTTTGGTTCTAATAATATGGGAAATATTTCAAATATTGGACAATTTTTTTGTACAACGCTAACCAAATTGTTTTTTACTAAATATATATTTTACCCGTTTTTGGTGTTTTTTAGAAATATGAAGGGTCTGTTGTTATACAAATAACATTGCCAATTGCGTCATACTTTAATAAAACTGTTTCTATAAAGTTTGAATAATATCTGTTAAATATTGTCCTAGTTAGAATATGGGATAATATAGGGACACGATCAATTTCTAGCGGGAACAACTAAATAAATAATTGTCCCAACTAAATTATTACAGGAACAAATGTAAATTTTTTATTCCAACTACAAATCTATTGTAACCCTTTAATACACAGACTTTTAGTTGGACCTACTTTGAATTTTAAGAGGAGTGACTTATTTACTTAAATTTATAGCTCTCATAAGGTACATCTTGTGCCTAATATATTTTGTTGTTTAAACGGGTTTCTTTTTATGAAACTTAGACAGTATTATAAAATAAAATAAAATAAATAAAAATTTAATTTTTCTCATTTTTTTAATTCTATATTCTGTAATAACGAGTGAGTACTCTGTGTCATTTCACTACTTAAATGTATAAAAAAAACTACTGATGTCCCAACAAATACCCTTCGTTAACTAAGTGTAAATGGTCGCTAAATAAAAAAAAATTCAAAATAAGTCATATAATATGTAATGTAATATAGTAATTATGTAAATACCATAATTTAATAAATACATTATACATCGTTGCCAACAAACAAAAATCTGTCTACATGTTAAACCATTCATGAAAATAAGTAATTTAACTTTACTTGGCCGGAGGTCGAAGTAAGTTTTCCTACAATAGTTATCCTACTATATTCTAATTATAACAAAAGCTATATTTACTAGGTCGGAAGTAGGAAAACAAACTTTGACTTCCGTAGAAAATTAATTTAGTTTTTCTTATGACTGGTAGTACATATTATATAACATTATGGTATTTAATTAGTTCCTTTATTATATCATGTATTTTAAGGATTATGTTGATCTAGCGACCATTTACACTGAGTTAACGAAGTGTTTTTGTACATAAGCTATTTCTAGTAATTGAATCTGAAACTAAATTAAATTGAAGAAACGTTAAGTTAAATGGCTACTGCTCAAAGTCGGGTTCAATATTATTCTAAACATTTTAATGGTACCTAATTTTATTATATTTCAATATTTTATTATAGCCAAAATCTTCATTATTTATTCTAGATCGATTGGAGCATCTGATTGAGACAATGGTTGATAATTCGTATAACGACCTAGACTATAAGGACTTCTGTAAACATAATTATAATAATAAAAAAAAAAAAAATTTAAGACAAGAGTAGAAAAAAATATTAGAAAATTGCATGCAATTGATGAGTGTTATTAATATCATATGTTTCACCGTAATTTGAATAGATGCTTTATGAAAAAATACTGATGTTAGTTCTAACAACCTCGTCGGATTAATATGTTTTATTCTCATCACCTAAACCGCATGAACTCTGCCATTACATTTCATAACGATTTCCCAGTCTATATAATATTATAGTTTTTTCTACTTTGACCTTCGTCTATTAATTTATAATTATATAATGTAATAATCTATTATGGCTAGTCTAACTGAATATCATTAATTTATGTAATGTCAATTACAGGCAAAGCTAATTTATTGATCGCTGTACCGGGTAATAGTTTTTGTTGAATTTTATGAAAATCTTTCCTATGTTTCATTTCTATTAAATTTTCCAAAAAGACTCTTATTGTATTGCATATACAGTGGAGCATATTCTTCCGAGTTACTAATCCATGTGTTTTATCTACCTTAATATTCGTCTTCCTGTTCATAGTAGAATAGAAAATAAAACGCAATATCATTAATAAAGTGTTGTTAATTTCAGACCAAATAGATATTGTCTCGGAAATAGCGGGTAATAATTGTCATTGCACTTAATGGACAATTGTTTTGATATTCTCTATGCACATAAGAGTTTTGTTTAAATTTCAGATGAAATAGACACAGAGGAATTGGAAAGTAACAATACTTTTATATTTCATTTTTTTAACACTTTGAAAAGAATCATATCCACTTTTTTCCAGATACTAATATGACATATCTGTTTCAATCTTAAAAAAGCCAGTACAGTGGGGTCGGGGCATAGTGGGGACACAGAGGTCACAGGCCAACAGATTTGAT